AGATTTTTATCAGGTGTTTCAGAAATCAGTAGGTTAACAGATCGGGCCAGGCCGGGCCGGGCCTGATTTTAAATAAGCCCGGCCCGGACCCACACCATCGGGCTTTTATTTTTTTCGGGCCGGGCTCGGGCTCAAAAATATTTTTTTGGTTTTGTTTCGGGCTCAGTAAAGCCCGGCCCGACCCGGCCCATTCCGCACCCTAGATATGCTTACCATAAAAATATTATATAAGTCTTGGGGTAATTGTTGTACCATCTCTGAGCTGTCGCTAATAACCTGACTAGCCAATGGTTTCTTCCAATTTAATGTCGTGAGAAACTTTCTCTACTTCTAAAAGTAAACGCTTATGAAGTGGCGACTTTTTATAATTCTTAAGCTTCCCCTTCAACTCATTTATGTTTTTTATAATTTGTTGAGGAGTAAGAGGTTTTTCTTTATTCGTCTTTATGGCTCCAATAGCAAGTAAACTGCAAACGGACCTATATGAAATTTCGAACTAATACAGACATAATAAGTTAATGGGGTTGCAACTATAATATAAAAAAATTATTACAAAACGCATACGCAGTCAGAATATAATCAAAGCTCTATTTCCATGGGGTCAGCTACTCCACCACGAAGATATAACCTTGAGTGATACTAAAATAGCCACACAGGATTAAACATATGTCTACAGTTTAAACATCCCTCACGCATCGAGGAAATTTTCCTGTAGGCGGACTATGGAATGGTTAAACTGTTATGCTTGCTCCTTCAGAGTCGTATCACTGTCTGCATGTTCATCATTCTAAATCAATTATACATTTTTCTTATAGTTTACTAGCCTACCTCTGAAAGAACCTTGTGAAGTGACTCATATCATTTAGAACCCTGGTCAATTTGATCTTCTACAAGATCTACCGCAAATTCTATAATGCTTTTTAATTCATCTTTAGAAATCCAAGGGTTCTCCCCTACCACTTGGTAAATGACAGATCCTGCGGTAATCGTTTCTTCTTTGGCATTTAACAAGAAGTTGCGAAGTTTAGCGTATACGTTGTTAGACATGGTTGTAGATTATAAAGATACAAAGAGAACAATAGAATTAATTGAAGTTGAATAATGCAAGAAATATAAATCACTAATAAGCGACAAATAAATCATAACTTCGGGATACTGCCCTTTTATACATTTTCCTTATCTCTTTCCTGAAACTCGAAAGGTAGAAAGGTTTAAAAACATGCACTCTTACATCAAAAATTTCTACGATAGAAGTTGAGACATGTATTTCTACGCAGAGAAATTTCGCAAAAGAATTCTATAAATTATGTAAATGTATGCATCACGAGTTATAGAGCCATGTAAGGTTAAAATCGATAAAAATTAAGACTTTAAGGAACTTGATACTCCGTTGTACATGCATAGATTGTGCGCATTTAGGCCAGATAAGGTTTGGTTTCCTCACAGAAATATGTGGCATGAGTTAATTGACTGATTTTGGTTAGGGTACTAATTCCAGAAAAATGGATTTCTACTTGTGCCCCGTCTCAAAAATTAGTTATGCATAACGATAAGCCTTGCTAGGTGATACAGATAAATTTCATGTGCGGACAAAAATTACGTGGTGAATTGGTATTACCATATCCGATCCGCTCCAATTTGTATTAATTATTTATTGTCACAGCAAATTTCCAAATTCTATAGATGCGTGTATATGACATACGATATTTCTTTGACAAAACTTGCACAGCATTGGGCATATTTCTGGAAGCAATAATATCATGAGGAGATAAATAAGTCGCATCAGGTCTTAATCTTGTAGGGATTTTAATAAATTAATATAAATCGACAAATAAAAATTTTATTATACATGGATAATTTTTTTATAGCTGTGATACAAACCTCGTAAGGATTTTCTAATGTACCAGTTATTTGATCGATTCCGTTACCGTTGTATAGCATTAAATGTAATTCGATTTTTCTAATAACAAGGTAAATAAAATTCTTGGTGAAAGAACGTATTTAAAAATCAAATCACAAATATAACTTTATTAATTTGTAGATATATGAATATTGGGGTAGTGGACGTTTAAGGGAGGAATAAAGCATGAAGACCATGCCTGCTGGCCCCTAGACCATAAGATAGCAGTTCCTTCCCACTACTCCATGTTATCTAACCATCTACCTATATCATTAAGTGTAGAACTTTTACAACTAGTGCTATTATTATAAAAATTTTTAATTGTTGCTGTTTTAATT